TAGTAATTCTGCCACAGTGGAGGCTCCCGGGCACCCCCTCTTCTCCTGATAGACTGACAATGAAGACTTAAATGTGACTGCTTTAAGGGGAATGTTTCATGCACTTCATTTGAAAACTACACTGGCATATTATAACACTGTGGGGATTTGATGGTAATTCACTGTCATTTTGCCTGTTGCGAATTTTATGCACCTAGTTTATTTCTAAGGAGTCCTGGTATGGCGCTGGGGGTTAATGCGCCAGACTGCAAAGCCATTTGAACTGCAAGGTCGGCGGTTCAAGCTCACCAGCTGCTCCTTGGAAACCCTATACAGGGTCGCTATGGGTCGGAATAGACTCGATGGCACTTAACAACAACTGTTCATTTCTAAGAACTGATCTAACATGGCAACATCTCAAAGAGAATGAAAGCACAGCTGTGTTTTTGAGACTTTTGAGAGACTCTGCAGTGAGTACCAGGTTGAAGGCTTTCTCCAGAAGAACAAGCAGATCAGTCTTCTTTATGCAGAAGGGAGAAGGAGCGAGACAGGATATCCTGTTCTCCTTTCTTCCCTGCCCAAATCCATCAGCTAACTGCTCTTTTGTATTTCAGGCTTGATGGATTGGTCGTGTGATGTGCTTGGATTCAATACTTGGGCTGAAGCATCTCATGTATTTGTCCATCAACTTCCCTTTGTAGCAAGCAGATTTACATCCCGTCTGGAGTGCCAGATTGAATTCAGTGCTTTTTTAAAGCCTGCAATCTGACACACACACACAAAAACTTTCCCCAGTCAGCACTTTGACCATATTTTAAAATAAGCATCTGCAATGTGATGAAGCAGCCGATGGTTCATTTTCAAGGGAGGAATCCAATTTGGCTTTTCGGGGATGATGCTGTAATTGGTAGAACTGAGAATCCTAACTGAGAATGGAGACTGGGCTTCCCTCCTCCCATCTGAGTGCCCCGGTCCTGCCTGTACCACTCCATGTCTGGTGTGATGAAGCGGGCAAACTGATGACTCCAGGCACCTGTGTATAATCAGCATGTCTTGTCAACAACTTCTTTAGGAACCACATGCTTTCCTAAGCTTGAGGGTTTGGTCTCTTAATGTCTCATCACCCAGGGCTCACATGAAAGAAATGCCTAAGGAGGTGTGATGAGGAGATGGCTGGTCTTAGTGATTGGGTAAGGAGGCTTGGTGGCATATCAGTTAAGCACTTGGCTGCTCGCTGAAGCATTGGCAGTTCAAACCCACTCAACAACTCTGTGGGAGGAAAACCTGGTGATCAATCTGCTCCCATAAAGATTGTTGTTGTTAAGTGTCGTCAAGTCAATTCCGACCCATAGCGACCCTGCATAGGGTTTCCAAGGAGCAGCTGGTGTGCTTGAACCACTGACCTTGCAGATCAAACAGCTTTGCAGTCTGATGCATTAGCCCACAGTGCCACACCAGGACTCCAGCCCTGAAAACCCTATGGGGGAAGTTCTACTCTGTCACGTGGAGTTGCTGGGAGTCAAAAATCCACTGGATGGCATCCAACAGTAACAACAAAGGTGACATGATTATCTTGGTTTCAAGGGGGTTTCCCAATGGGCCCCACCCAGCCGGGCCCCATCTTGCTTTGTAATTGTTCTCTGCCTCAGGTTCTGCATCTGTAAAATGGGAATAGTAATATAGTAATAAAATAGTTATGAGAATTAAATTCATGTATGTAAGTTATTTAGGAGTCCTGGTGTGGCGCTGTGAGATAAAGCACTGGACTGCAAACTCGGGTTGAACCACAAGGTTGGTAGTTCAAACTCACCAGCTGTTCCTTGGGAACCCTACACAGGGTTGCTGAGTCGGAACTGATTTGACAGCACATAAGAAGTTACTTAATGTATGTCGTAGTTCCCTATTGCTGTATAATGTCACCCCCCCCCTGATTCTGCAGCTTAAAACAACCAACACTGATTTTTGTTTGTGCAGTGAAGCATTATGGGAGCAGTTGAGGCTGTGGCCATCTGGGGGCTTGGATGGGGTGGGCTCTGCTTCCACAACCACTCACACGACTGTTGGCAGGTCTGTTCTTATCTTCATGCCCTTATGACATGACAGGTGACCTCCCCCAGAGTGAGTGATCCAAGGAGCGAGCACTGCCCCTGCAGATGTGTACATGATTTCCAAGGAGTGGCTGGTGAGTTTGAACTGCCGACCTTGTGGCTCAGAAGAACCTTGCAGTCCAGTGCTTTATCCCACAGTGCCACACCAGGACTCCCAGGTTATTAATTGGTACACTATTAAGGAGCTTGGTGGCACAGTGGCTAAGCACTTGCCTGCTAAACTAGGACAGCGAGTGTTCAAACCTACCAGCTGCTCCACGGGAGAACGATGCGCCAGTCTGCTTGTGGACACCCCTGGAAATCCCTCTGGGCAGTTGCACTCTGCCCTACCGGGTCACTGTGAGTCAGGACCAACTTGGTACCAGCAGCTTTTTGGTCCCACGTTACCATCCGGCACAATAGTTACACCACTGGTTTGTGATTCCTTTTGACATCATTGCCTTTTTAGAATAGGTCTTCTGACCGATCGCTTCTGGATTTGTCTGTTTTGCACCAGCAGCTTTGTAATGAAAGTTCTGGTGCTTAAGCATTTGGCTGTTCAGCAGTGGCTCTGTGGGGGAGACTTGAAGATATTTCTATACAGAATACAGCCTAGAAGTCCCTATGGGGCGGTGCCCCACTGTCGTTCACACAAGGTCACTTAGAAGCCAGCATCAACTCGATGGCACCCAACAGTTCCTTAATATTAAAAACTGAGGACATCTTGAAGGTGGTCCTCAGAAGAGGAAGTTGATGCAGCTGGGGAATGATGAGGTCTGTCAAGTCTTGACATACAAAAAAACGAAGTGCCACGACATGTAGTAGGGAGACAGCATGCCTACAGACATGGGCAATGAAGACCAGACCTTTCAAACTGGTGGGCACTTGGTTGCTAAAAGGGTGGAGGAATCTCTATGTAGGAAAGCTGGCAAATGCAGCAAGTGTTCTTCATAGGGATCAAGCGGCTCTGCTTGAAGCCAACGATTCATTTACCAAACACCCAACAACCAAACCAAACCCACCCCCTAAAAAACCTAGCTGCACCAGAATAGAATCAAGTCTTGTTAAAAAGAAATTTAAGACAGTTCAACATTTTGATTGAATTAACAGTGTGTCAGGTGCCAGGGAAAAGCCACAGATGTTACATATTTAGGGGGTCCACAAACTGTCACCATCCCTCCAACTTCTATGGAACAAGGTGCTCAGCCAGGCTTTGATAATCAGATAGGGCAGGTATGTGTAATGGGATTGAGTATTATGGGTACAACCCTAATTAAAAGTTTTTTTGTTTTTTTTTTAAAAAAAGGCTTTAGAAAAAGTGTGTGTGTGGTGGGGGCTGAGGGTTTGTGGTTTGGGCTTGCCTGTAATCTACAGGGAAACACTGAATCCAAAGTCCTGGGATTGGAGAGAAACCCTTCTTCCAGAAGTTTTGACTGTGCTAACGGTCAACACACCATTCCTCCCAGACAGGGCAAGGCTGTTGGGGTCTTATAGTTGTCCCTCTGCACTGACCAGGGGGCCAGCTGTGGTAAAAGTGTGGGGCCTAGTGCAGAGGGGACAGGGAGCCACGTCCCCAGGGAAGGACTTGGATCTAGGAAGCCAGTGTCCCTCTCACTGAATGAAACATGAACAGCTGGTAAAGAACAAGTCACCAAATCCTGTGGGCTCCTGGCTGGTGCCAATGGCTCCGCACTAGACTATTAACTGGAGGAGTCCTGCGGTGGTACTGCAGGGTCAGCAGTGGGCTGCCAGGTCAGCGTTTCACACTCATCAGCTGCTCCTCAGAAACCCTACACAGGGTCACTACGAGTTGGAACTGAATTCACGGCACTTAACATTAACTGAAGGGTTGGCAGTTCAAACTCACCAAGAGACACTTCAGGGACCAGTCTGGTGATCTACTCCCCCAAAGGACACAGCCTTGAAAACCCTCTGGAGCAGTTCTACCCTGTACACCTGGATGGCCAAGAGCCGGACTCAACCAGCTGGCAGCTCACAACAACGTGACCCTGGGCTCTGGGTAAGCACCGAGACAATTTTGAGTACCAGTGCTTTCCTGTACCTGGGATGGAAGAGGCTGAGAGGAGAGCGAGAAGGGAGCAGACTTCTTGTGAGGAAGGACAATGAAGAGGAGCCCTAGAATAAAACTTACCACAACAGAGCCAATGGCTCTTGCATTTGGTCAGTGTACCTCCCAATGGGGTGAGGCATTGTTCAGGAGGCCTGTGGCCACAGGGAAGTCAGGGACAGGGAGAGAAGAACTGAGGGTGGACATTACTCAGGACTCAATCCTGGGGAAAGGCCACCTGTGGAGACAGTGGTTCTGTCGGGGGAGGCCCGATCTCCGCTGTCTGTGCTGGGCTATGCTGATAAGTCACATTGGCACCCATGGGTCCCACAGCCCAGACCAACCCTTGCTGAAAATGGGTGGGGGGAGATGAGGCAGTGCACCATGGTGGAGTGTAACAGGCTTCGGGGGAGACACACCGGACCTGCCAGCTGAGTGGCTTTAGGAGACTCTGGACCCCTCTGAGCTGGTGTCTTCCTCTACAAACCAGGGACCACAATCTCACCCCCCTACATGGCTGTAGAGAAAATGAGCGCTTTTGTTTGAAAGTGCCCCACACTCCTTGGGCTGTACAAATCTGTCTTCCAGTGAGACACTGCACTGGCAGTTCAAGTCCATCTGGGGGGCAGACTGGGAAGGAAGAGCAGCCGGGAATTTAAGAGGGGCCAGCAAGTGTGGAGATCTGCCCTCCCTGCCCCTACCCCGGGCACCCAGCCACACACCAGCCCCATGTGCCCTCCGCCTGGCTTCGGTACATGTCTTTGGCAATCGCACACCAGTGGGTGTGTGAGGGGTGGGGAGAGAGGGGTGCCCTGGCTGTGGCTGGGTGGGGGTGCTTGGCCAAGGTGCCCACGGCCTGGGGGCACTCAGAGCTCATGCTTCATGTTGTCCTGGGGCTGCCCCGCTGGTCCCTGGCTGCTAGGTTGGCCCATGGTGGTATAGTCCCTCAGGAGCCCGCTCTCCACACCATGCCGCCGGAGGTGCTCGGTCCCTACCAGCCCCCGCATCCTCAGGTAACCCTGCTGGCAGGAGGGTGGCAGCTTCTGGCGTGTCAGGGCAAACAGGAAGCAGGACTCTGCAGAAAAGCAAGAGGGAGAGACATCAGCCCAGCTGGGGGTGGGGTGGCAGGACTGGGCACAGGAGGAACCTGCCCATGCCGCAGGGGCTCACCATTGAGCCTTCTCTAGGGAGTGGGAGCCATGAGGTTCAGGATAACTTGGGGGTCAGTCCCATAGCTTAGGCTGGGGGCACACTGGCCTCTGTGTCTTCCTGTTGTGGTGGTGGTTAGCTGCCGTCGAGCTGGCTCTGACTTATGAACCCCCCAGGACAAGAGACAAAACACTATGTTGTTGTTGTTAAGTGCCATCTAGTCCTTTCCAACTCATAGTGACCTTGTATAGGGTTTCCAAGGAGCGGCAGTTGAGTTTGAAGTGCTGACCTTGCAGTTCAAACTGACCTCATGGTCAAGCGCTTACCCTACGGCATCATCCCAGGACTCCTGGACTCTGCTGGGCACTATTTTGTTGTGACCCAGATGGCTAAATTTTGGAAGGAGACTGCCAGGTCTTTCTTCCTGGTCTGTCTGAAGTCTGGAAGCTCCGCTGTCCACGGGTGACCCTGCTGGTACTCGATGGCCTAGCTTCCAACATGACAGAACACCAAACTGATAGATGGGGTGGGCGGTGTGCTCCTGAAACCTTGAGGGGTTTTGCCGCTGAGGGCTCTACATTTATATCATTCCACATGTGTCTGACCAGGCTGGAGAGTCTGAAGAATGCTGGCAGTTCGCAGTTGCTTAGCTCTGGGTCTATGAATTCACGCTGTCTGAGCACGGACACAGCTTCACATGGAGAGTTTACATGACTGTTTACAGTTGTCTCCCTTAGCACGTACATGTTTTCATTCAAAGAGGACCAAGGATACCACCTGGGGATGACTTGTTGGACGAGGGCTGTTTCTTGCCTGATTTGATGTGACTAGTGTCTGACAGAGTCCCAGGGTGGCGACATGGTTACACACTTGACGACTAGCAGAAAGGTTGCTGGTTCGAATCCAACCACAGGTGCCATGGAAGGTGCAATCTACATCTGAGCAGTCACAGCCCTGAAACCCCTGTGGAGCAACTCTACTCACCCTGAGTTGAAATTGATCCAACAGCAACAACAGTAGTATCTGATACACTGTTATTGATAAGTGCCGTTGAGTCTGTTCCAACCCATAGGGACTTGTATAGGGCTTCCAAGGAGCAATTGGTGACCTTGAACCACCAACCTTGTGGTTCACACCAACTTTGCAGTGCAGCTCACGTTTGCTCAACACAAAAGGAAAGAATATCCTAAGCGTTCAGGGGATTAAACAAACAAAAACAAAAGATTGGTTTGCTTCTTTCAATTCCCCCTCTGGACCATCTGGCTTCTCTCCTCAACTCCCTCTATGGGTTTGGCTGTCAGAGCTATCTTCCAGGTTATGAAGTCTCCCTTCATCTCTGTCCAGTGTACCACCCTGACACTGAATTTCGGATTTATTATTCTATTATTATTCTATCATCCAAGTCCTAGTTAAATCTTTTTCAGAACTGTTCAGTCAATTTTGGTAGTCTCTACTCCATCACAGGGAGTCCTGGTGGCGTAGTGGGTTACACATTGGGCTGCTAACCACAGGTCAGCAGTTCAAATCCACCAGCTGCTCAGTGGGAGAAAGGTGAGGCTTTCTGCTCCTGTAAAGATTCACAGCCTTGGAAACCCTATACCAGGCCACTATGAGTCAGAACTGACTTGATGGCACATGATCACCACCACCTACTCCCTATCATACTTCCCAGAAATTTCTTTACATTTCTTTCTTTATATTCTCCTTTTTTTTACTGGGTGGTTGGCTCAGACTTATGGTAACTTTACATATGTGGTGTAAACTGCTCCATAGGATCTCCATGGTTTAGAAGTTGATCACCAGATCACTCTTCCAAGGTACCTTTTGGCTAGTAGTCAAGTGCTTAACCACCTGTGCCACTCAGCCACCAACTCACTTTATATTCTGTACCTGATTATCCCCTATCTGCAAGTTTCCTGTAGGTTTGATACTACAGTTTATTGTCTCTGCCGTCACTGGCTCCTGGCGGTTTGAGTCCTTATATGTTAGCTGAGTTTTGATTGTCAGTTCATGTTCTTGGGACTTCATCAGTGGGAATTTTAGTTTTAAAGCGTGTTTCTTCAGAGAAGATTTGTATCTGCTCTGGTGAGACTCTTAGGATTCCTGTACCACAAGAGGAATGTAAAGGACAGTTCAAACTCATGTGAGCAGAGCTTAAAAAAACAGCTCCAAGGGAGATTGTCAGAGGAATGATAGATGGAAGCAGGAGACACAGGGAGGAGTAAAAGAGTTAAAATGACTAGAGGCAAATGCTGCTAACTGATGGTCCAAGGAGGGGATTGCCAACCATTGTCAAAAAAAGAAGTATATGATTTGCTGAATGTAGAACTGATGATCTGCTCTTTAAACCTTTACTCAATTCACAATAAAAATTTAATTAAGGAAAAAAAAATTTCCAAAGCAAACTTGTAGCTCTGAAGTGCATTCTAACTCTCAGTGGCTCTATAGGACATGGGGTTTCCAAGGCTGTAAGTATTTATGGAAAAGGAGCTCTGGTAGCATAGTGGTTATGAATCGGGCTGTGAACTGCAAGGTCAGTGGTTCGAAACTACCAGCTGTTCTGCGGGAGAAAGATGAGGCTTTCTGCTCCCGTAAAGACTTACAGCCTAGGAAACCCTGTACAGGGTCACTATGAGTTGGAACCAACTCCACGGCACATAACAACAACAACAGCAACAAGTATTTATGGAAGCTGACTGCACCATCTTTGTCCCATGAAGTCACACTGGAGGTTTGAACACTTGACTTTTGGTTAGCAGCCAAGTGCTTAACCACTGCGTTACCAATATCTGGTGGTTGGAAATTTTTGGGAGAGTTTTCCCCCACTTTCCTCTGAGCCACAGCCGAGATAACCAGGAGCTCCTTCTATCAACCCTCTAGTTCACCTCCTAGTTTACTCACTGAGATCCAAGTGTTACCTGAGGAACTCCAAACAGACCTCCCAGCCTGCTCCAGCCTCCTCTTCACAACCCCACACACTGGTCAGTGAACACCATGGCTCTCAGCTACTGATGGTCAGCAGACAGCCCAGGCCCAGAAGGCAGTGTGTGCTTTTGCATAATATCTGGCCTCTGTGGAGTTCTCACTGGTATTTCTCCCTCCTGTTCTTTATCAAAGACATTTTATCCAGCGTTTTTAGAAGTGTGCTCTCCTGTGAACATCTGGTCTACCACACTGCAGGAGCCAGAAGTCTTGAGTTTGCATTTCTACCTGTGGGCTCTGAAATCCCATGGGGTATAGACTGGGTCTTTCACTGACCTTTCTCTCAGTCCCCATGTCCTCCTGGGAACTGCAGTTACCTGCATAGAAGTTTCGTAAATCCGTGTCCAAACAGTTCTCCAGGAAGCGCCTCAGAGGGAGAATGTGTCCGACCGGGGCGGTCCACTCTGTCAAGAAGTCTTCCACGATGTGGTGGATGGCTGTGGGCCGAGGCAGCAGCCAGTCTGCGGGGCGGAACCTCACCTCCTGCTCTGTGGGGGGAAGACAGGAAGCTGCATCGAAACGGGAGGCCAGGATGCCCATCCTAAAAGCTCCCCATGTTCATGCTGGGCTTTTCTGATCCAACACTGGGTGGTTTCTTCAATGGCCATCTACAATACTTGGATGGTTACAGTGGAGGAGGGACAAGGCTTGCCTCTTGTCACGTCAGAGGGTAGAACTAAGATGGATGGCTTGTGTTTTTCTAAGACTCACTCACACGGATGGAAGGTCTATGTGGCTGCTTCAGAGCTGGCCTTTCTGAATGGACACAGAGGCCCTGCACTGAACGCAGTCTTAGATCCAGATCATCTAGCCAGCATCCCACCTGGTGTGGGATCCCTTCTGTGGTGTTCTAGTCAGGTGGTCCCTGAGCACCCTTGGACTGGGAAACCCCTCCCGGGAGACGCATGCCCCACTGATGGGCAGTGTGGACCACACATTGCTCCCCAGGGTAGACATAGTGTCACGTCTACCTGCTGGCACCACCTCTGCCCTTTGGAATATCCACATGTAGACCACTGTCTTCCATGTAACAGTCTTTCAAGGTGCGAAGCAGGAGCCGTGCTCCCAGGTGGTTCATTTATCGGTAGGTACTGGGAAGGACTCCTTGTGTGGTGTTGTAGGATCAGCAGTGGACTTTGAATGACAAGGCTGGCAGTTCAAACCCACCAGCTACTCCTTGGAAACCCTATACAGGGTCGCTATGAGTTGGAACTGACTCGAGGGCACTTAACAACAACAATGGAGGAGATGAGGGAGCGTAGTGGATTACAAGCTGTGCTAACTGCGAGTTCAGGAGCTGGGCTCTGTCAGTTGCTTTGTGGGAGGAAGCGGGGTCTTTCTGCTCCTGTAAGGGTTTACAGCCTTGGAAACACTTCGCAGGCTCACTCGCTCTGAGTCCACTGTGGAGCCCTGGTGTGACATTGCAGGATCAGTGCTGGACTGCTAATCACCAGGTCAGGTTTCAAACCCACCAGCCGTCGCAAACCCGATACAGTGTCACTATGAGTGGGAACCGACTCGATGGCCCTAACACCCCTCCTCTCTCCACTCTGGGTTAGGCCCCATGCTGGTATTCTGTAGGCATTGTCTCATTTACCCTCAAATGACCCTATGAGGAAGGCACTATCGTTAGCCCCACTGGATAGGTTAAGGACATAGAGGTTAAAGGAGAGCCCGCGGGCACCTGGTGAGGAAAGGACGGGCGTTGCTGCACTTCTCTGAATGAGCACAGCCAGTTCCTCTTCCTGCCCCTTCTGAGATTCAGTCTCCAAGTCCCCCCACCAGCCCCGGTAGTACGGCCATGCCCAGGACACTTGGCCTGGCCAGTCATGGAATATTCCAGAACATGGGCACATCAACGATCAGCCTCTGCCCTTGCCTGGCCTGTTGGGAGAGCCCTCCATGGTGCCCTTTGTCAGATGGGAGACCCTGTGGTCCGAGGTGCACCCAGCTCAGAGTGAGGGCAGGGAGCGTGCTCACCTGTGGGGAGCTGTCTGTAGTAATAGATGACAGGATGGAGGAAGTTAGACTGCCATGCGTCTCTCATGTGGCCCACCGACCGGCCGTGGAAGAAGACGTCTTTGTCAGGTCCAGAGTAATTCTTGCCGTATTCCATGCTGACAACGAACAGCCCACGCCTCACCTTCCTGCCTGTAAGGGTCTCCAGCTGGGCCAGAATCTGCATGGGGAACTCTTCCAGGTACTCGAATGCTGTGGCATTCCTGGGGACAATGACACACAGGAGGGAAGAGCAGGGCACGTGTCTCCCTACAGGAAGCTTCACACAGCGTCAAAACCTCTGGTCAGCTCCGCACACCTCCCCGGCACATCGCTGTGGCAGCTGAACGCTGACTTACACAGGGGACAGAGTCCAGGAGACTCTGTGTACCCTGGGATGGAATGTGGACATGCGTGTTCCAGGCTGTGAGAACAGCACAGGCAAACTCTAAGGAGGGAGGAAGGCTGGGTTGAGGAGGTGAGCAGGGGCAGGCTGTCTGGGGGGGAGAAGGAAAGCCAGGGGCCCTTGGCGAGGACTGAGCAGAGGTGAGATCCGTGGGATCTGTGTTCTAGAAGGCTCATTTTGGGAGCTCTGTTGAGGGCAGACCATGGAGCAGAGACTCATGGGAGGCCGTGGTGTTCATGCAGGTGAGATGTGGTGGCTTGGACCAGGTGGTAGTGGCAGAGCTGGTGAGGGGCTTGATTTTAGATCCAATTTGAAGGTTAGAGCTGACAGGGTCTGCCTGAGGACCGCTGGACCTCAAGCATGTCTCAGGACACGATGTGCCGCTGGACTCCCTGACCAGACTGTCCTTGGCCACCTGCCCTTCTCTGTGATCTGCCACTCATCACTTGGATGCAGAGCCAGCCTGGTGCTGGCCCAAGGGGACCTATAATACCTGTCCATGGCATCTCAGAGCTACGGTTCACTGTTCAGGACTTGGTGCCAAATGCTCCCTGGACTCCTGATGATGAACCCCATTTCACAGATGAGCACAGAGTGGCTCAGTGTGCCTGACTTATGTACTCAAGGTCATTCCTACATGTGGGATTCACACTCAGGTTTGCCTGTCTGTCTGCAGAGCTCATGGCAGCAATGCCAGAGTTGACCCAGTGCACATATGACCCTCACTCCCGGTGGGTTTGGGGAGCCCTGTGCTGCTCCCTCCTGAGGTACCGGGAGCAGAGTCAAGGCAGGGTGTGTAGGTGAAGCTGAGTGGAGGAGGAGTGGGAGGGCATGGGCTTCTCACTCATTCAGTAGGATGATGTCAGCCAGTACACCAAACATCTGGTAGAGCCCCGAGGCCTCGTTCACGCGCCGGATGATGGCATTGGTCAGCTGGGTGATGGGGTGCTTGGTGGAGGGCCAGGCAATCTGGTGGTGGCGGTATTCCAGGAGCCGGTGGACAGCACGCACTGAAATGGACAGAGCGAGCGTGATGCAAGGCATTCCAGATTTGTTCTCTCGCTCCCAGGGGGCACGTGGAGTCCTGATCCACTTGTTTGGGCCCAGTCCACACTTGTGTGTGTGGTGAGAAAGTGGGAGGAGATGGTCAATGTGTGTGGTTTTATGGGTCACACAGTGTTCGTTGTAGCTCCTTAGCTCTTCCCTTGTCACGGGACAGTAGCCAGAGGTGGCAGCTAACCACAGCGGTGTGGCTGCACTTGGTGCCCAGACCCACCTGCATATGGAAGCCCCACCATCATTGTCACCTCATGTGTGACAACAGTCCAAACACACGGTTCAACTGAGATGGACTTGTAGAGACTGCTGAACTGGTGTGTTGTACTGTAGATATGCTTAACAACCACCACAAAAACCAAAGGAAAATCAATTATAAACAGCAACACAATAAATACAAGCACACAGCTCCTTCTGCTGCAGCTTCCCATCCCACAGTCCCTGTTCCAGCCAACTCCCAAGTGGGGATCCTTCCAGGACTCCCCTTCTTTCCGAGTGCAAATCCAATGTGCCACTAACTGCCGCTTTAAGATGCTTCATATCTTTAAGGACGTAGAAGCAACTGCAGCCAAAGACGGAGCGCGTGCATGTGTTGTAAAGGTGGACATCTTGTCTGCATCCCTCTCACAGAGCTGTGGGCCCAGAGGAAAAGGCTTACTCTCTCCTAGCTTTAGAATCCCGCCCATGTGAATGGAGCTTGTTAGGGATCGAATTGTGCTCCCCACCAGATGTGTGTTGTGAATTCTGTCCTCTATGCCTGTGGTTTATAATCCCTTTTGGGCACAGGCTGTCTTTGTTAGGCAGGATTAGTGGAGGGTGTGTCTTGAGATATACAAGAGACAGAGATGCCCGGCAGAGATGGCATTCTCTACAGGACAGAAGAGCAGAAGCTGAAGAGACAGGGAGCCTCCCCCAGAGCTGCTGGAATGAGAGAGCTTTCCCCTACAGTTGGCACTCTGAATGTGGATCACGAGACTCCTAACCTGTGAAAGGATCAATTTGTATTTATTTAAACCATCCACTTGTGGTATTTCTATGATGGTAGCACTAGAGAACACTGCCCTTCAAGGGGAAAGAAAAAAAAAAGTTGTGATGTCATTAAGAAAACACCTGAGTAAACATAAGAGCGTGTTGAGTTTTGGAGGGGACCATCCCCCTGAACTTCGAAACACAGAGAAACGCTAAACTGCACAACAGAGAGCTGATCCGATCTCATACAAACACCTGCATTTAAAAAAAATGACAACTTTATGGCCCACCAGAGATCCAGGTGTTACTGCATAATCAGCATTACAAAAGGTGTGCATATATACTGAGTGGCTCAAGAGCTCTTCAACGAATGGACCAAGGCAGGCAAGCACACCGTGGATGGGTCACAGAGGAAACTCACTAGAAACCAGCTCTCTTGAGGAAAAGAGGGTTCAGCTAAGTTTTGTAAAAGATCTAGGAATTACACAGCTGGAGAAGTTTAGGAAATGTAGTCTATGTGGAGTTAATAAAATCTTGAGAGAGCTTGGTACCTTTGGAGAAGCAGAGTTTGCAAACAGTTAAATGTGTTCCAGCTACCCAAAAGGCTGGAGGTTGAAGTTCACCCATAGGCTCCCTGAAATAAAGACCTAGTGTTTGGACCTGTGACCTTTCAGTTCATAGCATCCTACAACAAACACCCTGGTGCTGCTGTGTGCCGTGGAGTCGGTTCCAGCTCATAGTGCCCCTGTACAGGGTTTCTGAGGCTGTAAAGCTTTACGGGACCAGAAAGCCTCATCTTTATCCTGTGGAACAGCAGGTGGATTCAAATTGCTGACCTTGTGGTTACCACTTCAACATATAACCCACTGAAACACACACTGTTTTTGTTAAGTGCCGTCGAGTCTATTCCGACCCACAGTGACCCTGTATAGGGCTTCCAAGGAGCAGCTGGTGAGTTTGAACTGCCAATCTTGCAGTTCAAACGACTTTGCAGTCTGGTGCGTTAACCCACAGCGCCACACCAGGACTCCAGAAAACACACACTAGAATTTATGAAAATGTAAGAAAGCCAAATAGATCAGTTTGGACCAAAAGTGTTTTATGGAACTAAGCTTTGGTCCTGTTGTATTTCATATGATTTATTTTTAAATGTTTTATTGTGAATTATGTGATAGTTTACATGGAAGAACATTAGCTTTACATTCATCCTATCGTATATATAGTTTCATTGCCATGGTTACAATCCCCTCCATGCATCATCAACCAGCCAAAGGGTATACACTGCAAGCCTGCCACTTGGTTGTCAGCACACAGCCCCTCTCCCTCTCTGGGTCTACAGTCCCCAGCCACTCCATGTCTCCACGTCATCATCTCTGCCTTCATCTCTGGTGTTACTGCTTCTCCGCTCTTCTCCCTTGATGGTCCCAGGGACCTCCACTCCTGGACTGCATAGTCAATCACTCCCCTCCTTATGCTTTACAAAACATCCACCTTTACATTTCCAACCCTCACAGTCAGCCTGATAACAATTATTCACTATTGTATCACAAGATTCCTATCCCCATCTCCTTTCATCAGCCCCACCCAGACAGACTGGATACTACTCAGTGGAGATTCTATCTTCCTCCACACCCTCTGGATCTAGGCTCCCTCTTGAAAGCTTGTAAGCCAGTCACTTCTTGCCTTTGTAGCCCTCCTAATATAATTTTAAATGATACATTTAACTCAGTATTCCATGCACTACATGTAAACAAAAATATAGTGATAAACAACATAATTACCTTAAAAAAAAAAAAAAGGCCTGGTGATCTACTTACAAAAAACTCAGCCACTGAAAACCCTCCGGAGCACATGGGACCCCATGAGTCTGGATCAACTGGACACTGCTGGTTTAGGAGGCCCTCGGAGGTGCAGATGGTTAAATGCTCAGCTACTAACCCAAAGCTTGGTGGACTGAATCCACTCTGGGAAGAAAGGCCTGGCGAGCTGACTCCAAAACTTCTGTCACTGAAAGGCCAGCAGAGCCCAGTTCTACTCTGAATCTCATCAGGTCACCTGAGTCAGGACTGACTCTATGGTAACTGGTATTGGGTGGGCTGGGACGGGACAGGTGAGTGGGAGCGAGAGAGAAAAGGCAGCATCTGCAGGATGCAGGAATCAGGGAGGGGCTCCTGCACAGGAAGAACGAGGAGGGCTTCATTTTGGAGAAACAGACCTGAACAGACTCTTCTCATTCCACAATTATACATGTGTCCCATATTCATAGATGTAAACACATATACAGACATGTGTGCTTGGTATGGACTGCATCTCAATGTAAAGAACACAAAAATCCACTGCATCTCAATGTAAAGAAAACAAAAATCCTCACCACTGGATCAATAAATAACATTCTTATCAATGGAGAAAAGATCGAAGTTGTCAAGGACTTCATTCTTCTTGGATCAACTATCAACACTCATGGAAGCAGCAGTCAAGAAATCAAACAATGTGTTGTATTAGGCAAATCTGCTACACAAGACCTTTTTAAAGTGTTGAAGAGCAAAGATGTCAGCTTGAGAACTAAGGTGCGCCCGACCCAAGCCATGGTATTTTCAATAACTTCATATACATGCGAAAGCTGGACAGTGACTAAGGAAGACCGTAGAAGAATTGATGCACTTGAGTTATGGTGTTGGAGGAGAATATTGAAAGTGCCATGGGCTGCCAAAAGGACAAACAGATCTGTGTTGGAAGAAGTGCAGCCAGAGTGCTCCTTGGAAGCCAAGATGGCCAGACTTCATATCTCATACTTTGGACATATTGTCAGGAGGGACCAGTCGCTGGAGAAGGATATCATGTTTGGTAAGGAGGAGGGCCAGAGAAAAAGAGGAAGACCCCCAACAAGATGGACTGGCCAAGTGGCAGCATCAATGGACTCAAACGTGGCAACAGTAGTGAGGTTGGCCCAGGATCGGGCAGTGTTTTGTTCTTGCTGTGTATAAGGTCGCTATGGGTCGGTACCAACTCGATGGCACCTAACAACAACAACCAACACCAAACCCACTGCCATCGAGCTGATTCTAACTCATAGTGACCATAAAGGACAAAGTAGAACTGTCCTAATGGGCTTCCAAGGCTCTAGCTTTTACTGAAGCAGTCTGCCTCATCCTTTGCCTGCAGAGCGGCTGGTGGGTTTGAACAGCCAACCTTTTCGCAAACAGCCAAGCTCCTAAACACTGGGCCAACAGGGCTTCTCTCCTATGAGCAGCTACCAGCTTATCAGGGCTTCCTTCACTCTTTCAGGTGGATTTGCCTTATAGGACATGGTGTATCTAAGTCCTGACAAAATCTTTGTCCTCCTTCCCAGGGTCCACCCTGGAATGTGAGTTGGTTTGCCTTGTAGAAAATTTCTTCTGACAGCAAGGAAGGGACCACACTGCAAGGCTCAGGATCTGTGGGGCCGCATCCATGGGGACGTATGTGTTCAGAGTCTGCCCACTGACGATGATTAACCAGCAGAAGTTCATTCCCTCTCAGCTTCGTAGAAAACTTTCTATTTCCACATAGTGGAACTATGCTCCAATATTTTTAAATTGTTTTCTCCTTTTAAAATTCTATTTATTTTACTGTTGCTGAAATATACAAAGCTTTCTTCCTGTATGATGTTCTTGATGTCATCCCACAACTCTTCTGGTCTTCGGTCTTTAGTGTTTTATGTATCAAACCTGTTCTTCAGATGATCTCTAAATTCAGGTGGGATATATTCAAGGTCATATTTTGGCTCTTGTCAACTTGTTTTCATTTTCTTCAGTTTCAGTTTGAATTTGCATATGAGCAGTTGATGGTCTGTTCCACAGTCTGCCCCTGGCCTTGCTTTAACTGATGATATGGAGCTTTTCTACTATCTCTTTTCACAGATGTAGTCAATTTGATTTCCATGTATTCCATTTGGCGAGATTCATGTGTATAGTCGTCTGTTACACTGTCTAAAGAAGGTATTTGAAATGAACAAATCATTGGTTTTGCAGAATTCTAACATGCGTTCTCCAGCATCATTTCTATCACCAAGGCCATATTTTCCAACTACTGATCCTTTCTCTTTGCTCCCAATCTTTGCATTCCAATCACTGGTAATGAACAATACATCTTGATTACATGTTTGATCAATTTAAGACTGAAGAAGTTGGTAGAATTCTTCTATTTCATCCTCATTGGCTTTAGTAGTTGGTGCATAAATTTGAATAATAGTGGTATTAATTGGGCTTCCCTGTAGGCACATGGATATTGTCCTATCACAGACAGCATTGTACCTCATGACTGATCTGGATGTGTTCTTTATGATGATGAATGCAACACGACTCCTCTTCAATTTGTCATTCCTGGCATAGTAGACTATGTGGTTGTCAGATTCAAAATGGCCAATACCAGTCCATTTTAGGTCACTAACGCCTAGGATGTTTATCTGCCCTGGTTACTACTAATTAACTTTGATCTGTATACATTTGCCTTTTCTCTCTTTTTATATTGTTCTCTTTATGTGCTATTGAGTTGATTCCGACCCCTTATGACCCTGTACAGCAGGGGTGGGGAAAGTTTGGCCCTTGGGCTGTATAACCCCTTGAAATCATGTGGTCTAGCTCTTCCAATGCAACTGCAGAAGGCACTAGGATCTTGCAATGGGAAGAGTGTTATGGATTGTCCTGATGGGCCCAGTGTATTCACAAGAGTGCTTGTAAGTCAAAGAGGGGACAGGAGGGTCAGAGGAGAAAGAGTTGAAAATACTATGTGGCTGGGGTTGAAGATGCAGGAAGGGGCTACAAGGCCACAGGAAGTGCAGACAGCCTTGGGAAACTAGGGAGAAGGAAGGCAAGGAAATGGATTCTCCTTCAGCCTCCAGAAGAATGCAGTCCTGCTGACACCTTGATTTTGCCCCAGTGAAATCCATTTTGGCTCTTGGCCTATAGAATTGTAAGATAATAACTTTGTGCTGCTTCCCATTACCGAGTTTATAAGTGTTTGTTATAGCAACCATGGCGAGCGAATCTCACCTGGCTTATATCTCTAACATTAAGGATCTCCGCTGGAGGCCTGGGAGCTCTGGTGTGGTGCTGTGAGTTAGTGTACTGGACTTCAAAGTCAGCTTGAACCGCGAGGTCAGCAGTTCAAGTTCACCAGCCGCTTTGTGGAAATCCTACTGCAGGGTCGCTATGGGTTGGAATTGACTCGACAGCACCTCACAACAGTGGAGGCTTAGAGGAGTTAGAGGACTTCAGCCCAGACATTATCCAGTTGGGCAGGGTCCTGCATTAGCATTCTTCATGCTCATCATTCTTGCCAAGTGGTGCTTAACCTATACTGGGTTTGTACAGGTTACATACGCTTCCAGATGTATCTAACTTTACACCTTAGTCTGGTACTTTTCTAAACATATTCTCAGACCACTAAGACCCTTTCCACAATCTGCCTTAGACGGGATTTATGACCGTTGACAACTGGTAAGAAATTCCTTTATTAAGATCTACCTATAAAGGAGCTCTGGTAGTGTAGTGGTTATGAATCGGGCTGCGAACCTTAAGGTCAGCAGTTCAAAACTACCAGCCGCTCCATGGGAGAAAGATGAGGCTTTCTGCTCCCGTAAAGATTTACAGCCTCAGAAACCCTGTACAGGGTTGCTATGGGTCGGAACCGACATGAAGGCACTTAACAACAAAAACATATGGAGTCTAAGGTCAGCAGTTCGAAACTACCAGCTGTTCAGTGGGAGAAAGATGCAGCTTTCTGCTTCTGTAAAGATTTACAGCTTCGGAAACCCTATACAGAGTCGCTATGAGTCGGAACTGACTCCAGGGCACATCACCACCACCAGCACCACCACCTGTATGGGGTCAAACAGGAACCGGGCACTGGAAAGCATAGATGGGAAGCTTAGTGGGCAACGAGCTGATGAGAATGAGGGAGGAACAACTCAGAAAAGGAGGGAGAGAAAGTCTGTGCAACTCAAAGACAGTCATCAGTGTTGCTGAATTGTCGGAGCAGAAATGGTTGCACTGCTGTGTGTTCTGATGAAGATAATCTCAACAATAATAAAATAAAATATATTGTTAAAAAAAAGAAAAGAAAACAAATCGCTGCAATGCTCCTGAAAACCAGGAGTGTGTTTTTAAGTCTGGGCGATGGCTGGCCCTCTGGCCGGGCTTACCTGTGTATCGAAATCCATGGATGAAGCCCCCTGCGGATTTCCGGTAGTCCACAGAATGACTGGCAGTGCCCAGGACGAAGAGGCCCCGGGTTCCTTTGGACTCGTAACTAGCTTTGATTAGTGGGTACTTTTTGCCGAATGCACTCCCGGAGGAAAGTCTGAGGGAGCTGTGAGTGGAAAGACACGTTATATACAATCAATTACCTGCCTGGCATGGTGGGCTGGAGCTGCCAACTTTTTGATGAACAGCTGAGTGCTTAATCATTACTGGGGTCCTGTCGAAAGACTAGGATCTATAAAAGTTCCTCAGCATAAATTATAAATAACAGTTTTGATAATAGTTAACTTTCTATTGAAGGAGCTCTGGCAGCGTAGTGGGTTACACATTGGGTTGCTAACCTAAAGTTTGAATCCAACAGTCGCTCTGCAGGAGAAGAATGCGGTTTTCTGCTCCTGCCAAGATTTACAGCCTCGGACACCCTATAAAGTCTATACAGGATCGCTGAGTTGGAACCCACTCAACATACTATGTTGAGCACGTAGTATCTGCCAAGTGCTTTTCAACCTTAATCTTCAACATAACCTTATGAAATCATTAACTCCATTTTAGAGATGGGGCACACAGAGGTTAAGTAACGTCCCAAAATAAAATTGTTGTTTAGTGCTGTTGAGTCGATTATGACTCATAGTGACTATGTACAGGGTTTCTGAGGAGCAGCTGGTGGATTTGAACTTCCAACCTTGTGGTTAAAAACACTTAGCAACAATAATGTAGGTGTCACTCCTGGCCAGCACCTCATGCATAGCCCCTCTCACCTATCAGTGATGGTTTATGAGTTGCCATGATGTTGAGCTTCCAGACTGAGGCAACCAGGAAGAAAGGCCTGGGTAGCTACTTCAGCAAATCAATGAAAACCCTACACTCACAAGTTTGATCCACTATCGATCACAGGGCTGGCCCAGGACCAGGCAGAGCTTTATTCCATCGTGCACAAGGTCACCATGAATGGGGGCTGATTTGATGGTAGTCAAGAACTACAAAACCAGGGTGGTGGGCTTCAGTTGCTTTCCAGAGCTCGTACAGCTGGTTAAGTAGCAATCCCAGGCTAATGCCCGAGCCCAGGCCTCAACCGCTGGGCTACCCTGCCTTGCCCACAATGCCACCTCCTTTTTCTGTGCGAGCTGCCCTTCCCGTCTCTCATGTGAAGACCTACTGCTGCTGCTCCACAGGCGGGGTGGGGTGGGGGGTGAGGGGGTGTCTCAGGACCACGTGGAACCCAGTGGACGGAGCTCACGTTCTGGGCAGGCAGCCAGGCAGCCGACAGTGGATACTGCTCTCTGGTGGACTGGCTGGAAGCCCTGCCAATGGCCGTTCATTGATAGCTCTGCTCCCCAGGTGGGCTCCGAGGGGTGTCCCAAGAGTGCCCACCTCCTCCCGTTTGGGGCTCACCTGTTGAATATGGAGAAGTTGAAATTCCAGCCCAGGCAGCTGATGACCCGGTCGTAGGCCACGCGCAGGGCGAAGTTGTCATTGTCGTCCTCAGGGAGCTGCACCGCCTGGGCCCTCTGCTTGGCTTCTTCCAGGAGGAACTTCAGAGTGACGTGGAGTTTGCCCTGCTGGTCCTTCACAATGGCTAGGTCCTCCAGGGCAGACTCGAGCAACCCGTCCAGGGACTTGAGTTGGTAGGTGTCCAGGAGACCGTTGTTGATGGCTCTGGGGCCCAGAGAGAACACAAGGCGCCCTGGTCAGGGAAGGAATAGTGACTTGGACAATTCTCAGCATGGGCTGTGAGCTGCTATCTCGGCTCCTTGAACACACTGTGGTTGCTGGGTGCGACTGAGTCAGTGCTGACCCAGAGTGACCCTCATGTGACAGGGAAGAACTACCTCATGGTGTTTCCTAGATTGTCACCTTTGCGGAAGTTGATTCCAGGTCTTTCTCTTGCAAGGTCGATGGGTGGGTTTGAAAAGCCAACCTTTTGGTTGGCAGCCGAGTACTTAACCATTGTGCCACCAGAACTCCTGGGTACCAATGACTGACATTTAGAATCCTCCCTTCATGATCCCTCTGTGCCTCCTGCTTTAGTCTTACCTCTGCCCACGCTCATTACATTACGGCTACTCTGGTCATTTTAAATCAACGCCCCCCTTGGCTGTCTTAAGGCCTCAGCACAGCCCCGATCCTGTGCTCTCTTCACCTGGGGTCTTTTACTTATCTTCAGACCTTCCCTGAATGCTACCCCTTGTCACACACCCTACTAGGCCTGTGGTCTTCTGCATCTCTGTAAAATCTTGTACCTTTCCTGTCTAGTACCTGATTTGAGTGTTAACTGATTTAATTCTGTATTACTAACACAGACTCAGCACCCTAGGTGTGCCTGTGGATTGACATAGTGACTCAACCATGGGCTTAAGCATAGCAGTGGTGGTGAGGAAGATGCAGGCAGTGTTGTGGTCAACATCAGGCCACTATGAACTGGTGTTTATTCAGTGACACCTCACAATACCAATTCTGCCTGACATGTATGAGGGGGATTCCAAAAAGTCATAGAAAAATGGAACTGAAAGATAATGAACTTCTTCCATGACCATTTTGAAGTTCTCTCTTACAGCAGATATGAAAGCTGTTTTGTGAATGATTGAAAGATAATGAACTTCTTCCATGACCATTTTGAAGTTCTCTCTTACAGCAGATATGAAAGCTGTTTTGTGAATGATTGAAAGATAATGAACTTCTTCCATGACCATTTTGAAGTTCTCTCTTACAGCAGATATGAAAGCTGTTTTGTGAATGATTGAAAGATAATGAACTTCTTCCATGACCATTTTGAAGTTCTCTCTTACAGCAGATATGAAAGCTGTTTTGTGAATGATGATACATGGTTTGATCAGTTAGAACCTCAAAAGCTTATTAGTCAAGAGAAGTTTTGCTTTTCAACTGGGAATCGTTTCCTTCCTACTTACCTACCTCTCTTTTTATTTCTCAACACTTACTGAGTGCTGGACATTCAAAGATGGATAAGGGCGCCCACAATCCCAGTGGGAGAGGAACATAGGAACGCACTGTGAACGAGGTCTGATGGGACACAGGACACTCAGCTGAAAGAGTGGGTCATCCAGCTAGACTCAGGAGAGGCTTATGAGAGGAGGTTCCTCCCATGTTTGGGGCTCACAGAAGAGAATTGGGGGGCAGTGGTGGCTTAGTGGGGACTCAGCTTTGGTTTTTGGCCAATGCACCTCAAGTACATCCACCACCCATCTGTCAGTGGAGGCTGCATGTTGCTAAGATGTTGAACAGGTTTCAGTGGCGCTTCCAGACTATGACAGACCAGGAAGAAAGGCCTGGTGATCTACGTCTGAAAATCAGCCAATGAAGCCCAAATGGATCACGATGGTCTGATCTGCAACTGATTATGGGGAAGGCGCAGGAGCACACAGTGTTTTGTTCCAATGTGCATGGAGTCACCATGAGTGGGGGCTGATTTGACTGCAGCCAACAACAGCAACAACAACAAATATAGAAGACAAACGTAGTCCTGGAGTATACCTGAGGTCACCCACGTAGTGGGTGGCCCAAGAGAGCCGGACCCGGGAGCGGCTCAGCATGTGGATGAAATTAGTGACGCCCAAGATGTTCTCTGCGGTCTCAAAGGCTGAGTTCCCACGGCCCAGGATCAGCACGTTCTGACCCTCAAAGTCCTCAGGGTTGATGGACACAGACTCGTAACTCTCCACGTATTCGGAGCCAGGGAAGTCAACATGGTTGGGGACAGACAAACCAGTGGCGACAAGCAGGACACTGCAGGTGGGGGACAGAAGAGAGATGACTTAGTCTTTTCACACTAAGATCACAAAGTGAAAAGTCACTCTCTGAACTTACCCTTCTCTCTGGGACTGCTGGCTCCCACAAGCAAAGAGAACATTCATTCGTCCACTTAGCCATTTACTAACCCAGCCCACTGCATCTGGGAGCCTCTCCTTGTCCCCCACTGAACTCAGGCCTTAATTCCAACTCAAAACAACCCCAGAGGACAGAGTAAGACTGACCCCTGGGTTTCCTAGGCTGTATGTAACCTTCATGTGGCACTATAGGATCAGCACTGGACTGATAATCACAAGGTTGCCAATTCAAACCCGCCAGTTCAACCCACCTATACAGGGTTACTAAGAGTTAGAATCGACTCGACCACTATCACCTTTATGGGGATCCCTGGTGGTACAGTGATTAAGTGCTTAGCTGCTAACTGAAAGGTCAGTGATTCGAACCCAAATGCAACTCTACAGGACAAAGCTGTGGAAGTCTGCCACCATAAGGGTTACCAGCCTCAGAAATTGTATGGGGGCAATTCTACTCTGCCCAGTAGGGTTGCTACGACTGGAATCGACTCGGAGGTAGTGGATTTTAGTCTTTAAGGAGGCGATCACCACGTGTTTTCATTCATGGAGCCGTTGGTGGGTTCACACTGCCCACCTTTTGGTTAGGACTTAGCCATCGAGTGGGGGCATCTTCCCAAACACTGTGATTTTACCAAGATAAAAGACTGAATTTTAATTTTACTCTGATTGAGGAGACAGCGAGGCCAGGAGAAATCAAACAACTTATCTCGTTCTGAGCATAGTAATCAGAACAAGTATTGCCCTCGGTCATGAAAACAAGCCCAACTCGATGTGCCTCTGGCTCCCTCTGACTGGCCTGGCAGATTTGGGCACTGACTGGGCAGTTATCTGGACCTTGTTCTAAGTGTGTGCTATGCTTCATCTTCCTTATCTTACTCCTCAAAGCCACCTGGAGTTGGGGTGATTTGGGCCTTTTTTCCAGGTGAGGAGACACTGGGTCTGAGGCTTCGGAGCAGAATCTGAATGCAGACGTTAGCCTGGTCCCACAGCCCTGCTCTGATTACTGGTGGGATCACCACTCTGTGGTGGGCAGTGGCTGGAGAGCTGGGTCCTGCTGGCTTGCAGGAGAACAGGGGCACCACGGAGCAGGTTAAGAAGTGGAACTGTAGGAACATGGGCAGCCCCCCAACACTCCTGTTCTCTGGCCTTGGTCCACTTTGCTCATCTGTCCCCACAGCTGCCTGAAATGCCAGCATCCAAATTGGCAGAGCTTCTGGGAACAATGTGGAAACTCTGAGTGAGCCCCTTCTGGGTGCCAGGCACTAGGCTGGTGGCCAGGACGGGAGAGGCCGTGGGAAGAACACAGACTATGGAGGCCGGAAGACAGGAGTTCAAATCGCAGCTCTTCTGCTTGTTAGCTGTGTGACAGAGTAGAAGTTACTCAGCCTCTCTAAACCTCAGTTCTTTACCTTTAAGGGGATGAACCTTAGATGGAAGGAGGGTGAGATTTTGTCTCCTGTACTTTGGGCACATTATCAGGAGAGAGTAGTCCCTGGCAAAGTAGAGGGTCATCAAATAGGAGGTGGACAGACACAGTAGCTACAACAATGGACTCACACAGGAATGACTGAGGATGGTGCAGGACTGGGCAGGGTTTGTTCTGTTATACTGAAGGTTGTTATAAGTAGGAACCAACTGGAGAGTACTTAACAACAAACCTCCTCCCATAGGGTCCTTGGGAAGAGTAAGCAAATGTCAACTTACCAGCTGCTTCTCAGAAGCCCTATACAGAGTCACTATGAGTCCAAAATCATGGCACTTAACAACAGTGTAGTAAACAAATAGGGCTGTTTACACAATACTAAGCTGTAGTGGTTACGAATCGGGCTGCGAACCGCAAGGTCAGCAGTTCAAAACTACCAGCTGTTCCGCGGGAGAAAGAGGAGGCTTTCTGCTCCCGTAAAGATTTACAGCCTCGGAAACCCTGTACAGGGTCGCTATGAGTCGGAACCGACTCCACGGCACATAAAAACAACAACAACAACAACAAGCTGTCTCCCAAGGCAAAGAAAGTCCAAACTGAATGCTGGGAGTATGTCTATGGGGCCTCCCACCTTTGCTTCAGTTCAGAAATCCCAGTGAGCAAGTCCAGTGCTTGGTGGACACCTAACCAGTATCTCCCCAAATATGTACTTTGGGAACACCAATTCCAGGCCATGTTCTACCTCCAGAAAGGGTTCTGTGGGTACATAAGTTTAGACAGTGCCAACTACCTTACCCAGTGTACCCAATATTATTGGGAATATGAAGATATTTGTTGTAAAGTGCTGTCGAGTCGGTTCTGACCCATAGCGACCCTATATAGGGTTTCTGAGGAGCAGCTGTTAAGCTTGAACCACCAACCTTGCAGTTCAAATGGCTTTGCAGTCTGGCACATTAAACCACAGCACCACACCAGGACTCCAACAAATTCTGGAGGATTTGAGCATAAGATACTTTTGAGGACACACTGGGGATGATGGTTGGTATGAGCTTCTTATCACAGAATTTCAGGGCAGAACAGGGTAGCAGAAATGTCTACTTGTTCCCGTGGCTTTGGGACCTTACTGGCAAACCAAGGTCCTTCTGGAAGGGAAATGGTTTCAGCAGATGGGCTCTGTCTCAGGTTCCTTACCTGCATCTATATGTTTGGGCCTTCTGGTCCATCAGACAAAGTAGTGGCCATTCCAGGCCCCGTGGCTTTGGGACCTTACTGGCCAACCAAGGTCCTTCTGGAAAGGACACGGTTTCAGCAGATGGGCTCTGGCTCAGGTTCCTTACCTGCATCTATATGTTTGGCCCTTCTGGTCCATCAGCACAAAGTAGTGGCCATTCCAGGCCTGTCCATCCTTGTCCAGAGTGACGTGGGCAATGGCAGTGTTGTACAGCACATGGAGGCGCAGACGGTCTGCGAAGTCGTGCAGATAGCGCACCATGTCGCTGGCGTCGGGGAAGTAAGCCTGTGAGTAGTGTCGGAAGAGCAGCTGGGGGTCGTGGCTTAGCAGGGAGTTCCAGTCGTGGCGCAGGTTGAACTCGGCATTGGCATTGCCCGTGTACCTCTTGTTGATGCTGATGAGCTTGCGGTGGCGCGGGTAGCGAGCAAAAAAGCTGCCGGGGCCCGAGCTGCGCTCGAACACCACGTAGTTGCGCCCAGCACGCTGCAGGAAGTACGCCATCTGCAGGCCGGCGGGCCCAGCGCCCAGCACGCAGTAGTCCCCAGGTGGGTGCAGAGCGACCGCCCAGTGCAGGGTCAGGGTCAGGGCCAGGGCCAGGAGCAGCCCCGGGGCACCCCACAGCCGGGCCGCGACGGAGAGGCCCATCCTGTGGCAGACCAGAGGGGAGGCTGGGGGTCACCCACGGCCCACCGACATGAGGGCAATCCTGTCCCCCAACAGGGTGGCCTCGCCCAAGACCACACAGCATCTAGGGTCGAGCCAGGCCCAGTTCTCCGAGCTCACCTGCCTCAACTCCATCCTTTCCACCTGGGACCCGGGGCTCCCCCCGAGCAGTTCTGTGCCCCTCCATTTCTTCCTGGGCCTCCCTTCCCATGGGCGCTAGCCCACTTCTTACTGCCATGGTGACCCCCTGGGAAGGGGAAAGTGTGCCCCAGTTGCCCCTAATTTGAGGGGTGCTCAACAATCCTCTTGGGCCTTCCTCAAGAGTCACGATTCTCCTTGACCACGCCCTCAGCCGGAGGCTGTACTTGAGAGGTGTGGCCTTCAGGGCCCCGCCCCCTTATAGGTTCCGGGCTCCCACCCTGTTCTGCCATTTGACAAAGATGCCCCAGCACACCTGCCGCCTTGCGGCGTGAGCCGGCCCTCCCGCCGGAAAGCGCGCTACCCAGGCGTGGGCTCCCGGCGCGTGCGCAGTGCCTACGTCCACAGCTCCCGCCCCCCGGCCCGCCGCTCCACCCACCAGCGGAGAGTTCGAACCTCCCAGCCGCTCCGGACGCAACCTGCAGTCAATTGAGGCTGGAATAGCATAGCTCGCGCCCCTAGGCGGCGGCTCCGCCCCTCCCAATGGCAGGGGGCGGGGTCACGTGCGTGGCGCGCGGCACGCCGGGATGGGCGGTGGAGTGGGGCTCCGGCCGGGGGGCGCGCGCACGTGCTGCATCGTGGGGTGGGCTGGAGAACAGGTGAGCGGTGGCCTTCTTTCTAAACTCTGCATCTCCACAGGTGAGAGAGAAGGGATTGTTGGGAGTCCCAGCTCTCACACCTCACCACGATGCAACCAAAGACCAGACTCATTGGCCTCTGCAGTTTTGCGGGGCTGGAAACGAAAGTTAGGACGCTATGGACAGATAGCCAATGAGCATGTGTTACAAGAATTGTTCACTAAGCAAACACGACTGACTTGCTCTTCCGCCAACTGGGAGATACTGGCATAATTTTGTAGCTGGCCACATGGAGGCTTAAGTTATTAAATTTGCTTAAGATCACACCTTAAGATGTGGATATTGGAACTGAAAACTCTTTTTACTCCAACTCTTTCCCTCGAGATTTTTACTCATCCAATGAATCTCATCGTTTCATGTGGTTATTGTTGTAAAGTTCCGTCCTATAGCGACCTTGTGTAGGGTTTCCGAGGACCAGGTGGTGAGTTTGAACAGCCAACCTTGTGGTTCAAACTGACTTTGCAGTCCAGCACATTAACCTACGTAGGCACCACAGCAGGACTCCTTTATGTGCTTGATAATGTTTAAACAAAGTAACCAGTACCTGTTGTTAATGGCCGTCGATTCCTACCAATAGTGACCCTGTAGTACAGGGTTTCCGAGGCTGTAAATCTTTACGGGAGCGGAAAGCCTCATCTTTCTCCCGCTGAACAGCTGGTAGTTTTGAACTACTGACCTTGTGGTTCACAGCCCTATTCCTAACCACTACGCTAAAACTGTGGCCATGGAGAACCAAAGGCTGTTGGTGTGGGCACCTTTTCAGAGGTGTAATGTGGAACCTGCATGTTTACATCAGCGGGATGGTCCCTTCAGGAGGGAGTGAAACATTTAGGGGACCTTTACGGGACATTAAGGAGTCCAATGAGCTGGCACTGAGGACTGTTGGTGAGAACTCCTTGGCCTTTCAGCTTTGCATGGTTGGCTCCTTGTCATTTCTTGGGCCTCTCTAGAAAAGCTTTCCTTGACACCAGGCCAAAGTACCTTAGGAGGGACAGTTTGCGATCAGTACTGTTGGATTCACTGTGGCTATCTCTGCACTTCTTCAGTATCATAGTCAGCATTTGTTAAATGAACACTGGCACCAGAGATTCAGGCAAAACACCTAATTCAAATGAAACCTCTTTTCTGTCACATTTAAGGACACCTGCTTCATGGCTGTGTAGATTGTAAACATGGGCGCTGGCAGCTAACTCCCTTTGCATTAAGGTTTAATGTCAACCATCTCCATGGTTTAACAGTTAAGATGTAGTTATCACCTCCATGATGTAATCAGCTGGAAATCTCCTGTTAACGAAGCTAGATGCAATCTGCAGGATAAGGTTGTATCATGAGTCAGTCTCTTCAGATAAAAAGGAGAGTGCACAGAGTTCACAGGGACTTCACCACTGAGATGGAAGAGCTGGGAATGGAGTGGCGCTTTGGACCTGAGGTCTCTGTGCTGGGAAGTGCCTAGATCCAGGGGAAGACTGATAGGAAGATATATGGAGTTCTCCACGAAATAATGGGGGGCCTACAGATGCAAAGGAGACAAGGACCTTTCCCTAGAATGAACAAAGAGACAGCCTTCCCCTAATACTGTGAATTTGGACTTCTAGCCTCTAAACCATGAGACTAAATTCTGGTTGCTAAGGCCATCCACTTGTGCTGTTTCTGTTAGAGCAGCACTAAAGAAAGAAGACATTACCTCAAGCAGTTGCTGGCATCACTTAGTGAGTGGTGGGAAGTGGGGCAGGGCCTCCAGCGGTGAGGAGGGCTTTGAGCCTAGGCCACACTTCAATTGTGGGTAGCAGTATATTCTATGTGCATGGCTGTTTTTAGTAATCAACTTGGCCCCATGCAGGTCAGATAAAAGCAGGGCGAAGAGTGGAGCAATGAAAAATATTTTTAAGAGCACAAGCTTAAAACTCACTCCTAGCTGCCCTCTCTCTCTTTAAGCCTGCTGGGCCAGATCATGGGACCTTGAACCCCTGCAGAACCTGAAGCACTAGTGTTTATTTTTTAACACACCATCTGTACTAGAAATGCCCCCAAGCTTTCTACGTTCCAGCTCATCAGGAAATTCAATAGAGTTGCTTGCCTTTTGAGGCTTAATTATTATGATTACAATTGTAACAAGGAATGTTACTCATAAGCTGAGCTCTGTTCAACGGCATCCCACCTGCATTATTAGTTTTCTAAGAGTGAACCAGTATTTATTAAACATGTACTGAAATATGACAGAATAAATACCTCATAAATCATAACAAGAATAGAACACTACCTACTTATTAAAGCAGCTCACATGTTTTACACATTTATAGCTCTGATGTATTTGAAACACACTGCTTTGTGGGTGCCGGCTTGAGAGTTAGTCACCAGTCCAAGCCAAACTTGGGAACAATTTAAAAGTCATTGTAAATTCATGTGTCAACCACCAAAGACTGTACCTGGTTTCATCTTTGTCACGGTGTTCCTTACACAGTAAAAGGTCTACGGGCAGCTCCTGGGTCTTACACATTCAGTGTGTAGAAATGGATTCCTTAGAGGGGGGACAATGCTAACCATGAAAGAATCTCAAGGGGTTCCAGGAACCAAAACCTCGAGGCTAGTTACCCTCCCCTACAGGAATGTAAACCCAAAAGAGCTCAAGGGCAAGATCCTGCAGTCCAGAGACAGCGGCATGTCACAAGGCTTTGTGGCCGAGGAGGAAAGGCTGTGCAGGTGCTTGTCCTGGTGAACAAGGAAGAACAGGGACTAAACACAAGATACTTTATTCCCTCTGTCAAACTGCACAGCAGAGGCGGGCAATGACCCCTCCAAACA